TCCAGGAGCAGGGCAAGTGTAGAAGAGGAGGGTGGGTGAAGATGGCATGTTGTAAGGCCTGTGGTCAGAAGTAGGGCCTATAGGCCATGTTAAGGGGGTTTTTCCTTAAGATAAATAGGGTATCTTTGGTTCATTTTGAGCAGAGCTGATCTGATCTTGCCTTAAGAATATTCCTCTGATGGCTGGGTTGAGACTTGAGTAATAAATCCCTCTACAGAGCCAGGCATAGGACCGAACCAGTGATCCACCCAGATGGCTCTAGTCATATTCCCTTGTGTTAGCTGTTGGCCCTTACTTCTTATAGCGCATTTTACAGAAAAATTGAGGATAAGGGGCGCCTGGCTGGCTCAGTCAGTAGAGCATGTGACTCTTGATCTCAGGGTTACAAGTTTGAGCCCCACATTGGGTGTAGAGATTACTTAAAAATAAAACCTAAAAAAAAAAAAAAGGGTAAGGTGCTGCTACCTTCTGGGAAACAAAAATATTATAATGTTTAAGCCACAAGTCTTAGAACAAAACTTACAACTTTTTCTTAAGCTAGTAGGCCCTTATTTTAAAAGCGCTCAGAGGACTACTAAGCAATACAAAATAACGAACTATTGATTCATGTAACAACAACCATATATATAAATAAATGTTATTTATATATAACAGTTATAGAGTATTACATCAAACTTTTACATTGATTATTTCTGGGTGCTGGGTTAAAAACTGATTTAGCTAAGTGAGATATCTCTGTAATGTTCAACTTTTCTGTAATAAGCATGAAAGATGTTTGCAATCAGAAAAAAGTAAGATGGGGCACCTGGATGGCTCAGTTGGCTAAGTGTCCGACTCTTTGTTTCGGCTCAACCCATGATCTCATGGGTTGTGGGATCAAGCCCTGAGGTGGGCTCCACTTTCAGCAGGGAGTCTCCTTGAAGGTTCTTTCCCTCTGCCCCTCCCTCTTGCACCCACTTGCTCTCTTTCTCTCCCTAAAATAAATAAATTAATTAATTAAAAAAAAGAAAAGAAAATTATTTAAATTTAAAAATGGGGAAGGGGTGCCTGACTGGCTTACTGGGTAGAGCATAAAACTTTTTTTTTTTTTTTAAGTTTATATAAGTGATCTCAATACCCAACCTGGGGCTCAAACTCATGACTCCAAGATCAAGAGTCTCACGCTCTTCCAGCTGAGCCAAGCAGGCAGCTGGAGCATGCAACTCTTGATCTCCAGGTCGTGAGTTCAAGCACCACGTTGGGCATAGAGCTTACATAAAAAATAAATATACACACACACACCTACATACATATACACATACATAAATGGGAAGGGATATAGATAGTCTCCAAGCAGGCACAGTTACTGGGTTATTTCTCAGATAGTGATAAATACCAGAAAGGCAAGGTAGCCCAGTCCTTCAGAAACAGCTTAGGAGCAAGATGACCTGCAAGAACCTCTGAGAACCTTGGTCTCCTATGCGCAGATGGAATAATACAAAGTTCCCATCCTATAAGCTGCTGGGAAAATTGAGTTAACAGGAAGTGTTTTTAATAGTGACCTTCACATATTAAGTGTTCAATTGAGTAGAAATTACCCTTTGCTCTCAGATTCTTTCCTGGGCAACCCTTTCTCTGGGAGGCGGCAAAAAAAGGAGGGAATTGTGAGTAAAGCCACGCTCCTCCAAGGAGAAATAGGCCCAGGGAAGGGGACTCTTCCACACAGGGAAGCCTGGGCAGAGACTCCTCTCATCCTATGGCTACCTTTCCCTCTCCTTACCAAGGGGGTGGTGGTTGAAATGGGGAGTAGGAAGGGGAGGTGGGGGCAGGACTTGTTTTTCTTGGGAATCAGCAGCCCAACTCCAGGGCCCAGCTGCCAAACTCACAGGCTAACATGGACTCCGACCTGCATGGTGCCCTCTACCTCCCATCACATTCCCTGACTTCTTCTACCCATGATTAATCCAGACCCCGGATGTCCTCCAAGAGCCCCTTGCCCCAGCCTTGGACAGGCAGCATCAGCCTAAACTACTAGGTACTAGCCTGTAATTGGACAAAGTCAGGCTCACTGATGCTGGGCAATGAGGGAGTCCCACATGTTGGGGGCGTAGGGGTCATGGGGTCCTTCACCCCAGAGTGGTTGCTTATAGGACTTGAGTGAACTGTGCAGGTTGTTCAGACGAAATTGGAAAAAAGCTGTGTTTCGTAGGCTGAAGGTACAGCAGGACTGGGACTGGGTCCACCGCGAGGTGGAGCCAGGGAACTAAAACGTTAAGATGGATGTGGAATGTTGTGTCCAGAAACCCTCTAACCAGAACGGGCGCCCAGGTCGGAATCGCTGAATCTTGGGTCGAAGTGGCTTAGGTCCCACTGAGCCTGCCTGGCTCAGTGGGTAGAGCATGCCATTCTTGATCTCCCGCTGAGTTCGAGCTCCACGGTGGGTTTTTGAGATTGCTTAAATAAACCAACTTAAAAAAAAAAAAAAAGCAGTTTCGGTCACTCAGAAGGTGGCATTCTGACAAATGTCACTTCGTGTCTGCCACTCCAGCCCCAGGGACAAACGGCCAGACTTTGCTTTCCTAAGTGGAGCTCATTTTTTTTTTTTTAAAGATTTTATATATTTGAGAGAGAGAGAATGAGAGAGAGCAAGCACATGAGAGGGGGGAGGGTCAGAGGGAGAAGCAGACTCCCCGCCGAGCAGGGAGCCCAATGCGGGACTCGATCCAGGGACTCCAGGATCATGACCTGAGCCGAAGGCAGTTGCCCAACGAACTGAGCCACCCAGGCGCCCCAGTGGAGCTCATTTTTACTTCTCAGATGCAATCCATTTGCACCAGCGTCCTCCTGTGTCCAAGGAGGAGAGGCACATGCAGCCTAGTCTCCAGGCCGGAAAAGCGAGTTTGGAAGCTGCCTTCAGGCGGCTCTGACTCGGTGGAGGGTGCTTCTGGGCTCCGCGCCCAGTGGTCTCCTGCCTTCCTCCTGCTCCCGCCTCCCATGGGGCCTCGGGGGGCCCCCAATTCCCAGCTCAGGAGGGGGCAGGGGTTCTCCCTGCAGTGGCCGCATCTGTCTCTACTTTGATTTCCTCGCTGATGTTCCACTCATGCTGATTTTTCTCTGGTCCTCAAAAGGCCGATTGCAAGCGCTATTCTCTCTACCAGGAAAGGTGTCTGTGCAGCGGGCTCCTATAATCATTCACCTTTGAGGATTCAGCTCAGATGTCACCTCTTAACCCGATCACATCACCCATGGCTGCCCATGCACGCCCGCTGCGGAAATACACTCGTTTCTTCTTCACAGGATGCATCGGCTCAGAATCCTGGGGCTTTAAGGGCCTTATAGGATCGGTCCCGGTGGGTGATAAGCGTGGCGCAGCCACCAACCTCCACGGCTCCCTGCCACCCTGTCATCCACTTAGACAGGGGCCGCACTTTCAGCCAGGTGTCTCAAGTCTCACTCAGGTTCCTGGACTTCTTGCTGCAGCTCTGGTCCCGCCTTGGACCCCCCCCCCCCCCGCCACCTCATGTGTCCTGTTTCAAGGGCCCTAAGCAGACCTATGAATCTCATTTTGAGACCTCAGGGCCTGGGATGGGCTGCCAACCCATGGGAGGAAGGGTTCACCTTTCAGACTCCCCTGCTCTGGCCTCCTAACCCAAGTCTACAAGTCTGGGGCCTGAAGTCTAGGACACATGATTTCCACAGGATGCGGCCCCACCCTGAGAAGAGGGGGAGGGTCTGGAGCAGTGCACCATTAGATGCACCAACATGGCTGTCCCGTCACCGCAGATCTGGTGCACCCCAGACTGTGCATCACTGTCTGGCAGGGACAGGGGAGATCTCTGCTACTTCAGCCTGCTGCCACACCAGGGTCGATGCAGGGAACAGGAGCTGGACTGAAGGCACCTTACTTAGTTCCTTCTGTCTTGGACTATAGAGGATGGCATAATGGATAAGGCTGCAGGACAGACAGGCTGACGAGGTGGGAGAGGCAATTCCCCAGCCTTACCCTGTACATGTAGGGATCTTTCAAGTGAGGTGTTCCAGGAGTGGACTTTGGGTATATTGGGGAACCTAGATGTGTATGGATGGTCTTTGGTTCTAAGATGCAGGCTTCTTGGGATGTGGCTCATAGGATATTATCTAGGGTAGGCAGAGCCCATGGGTTTGTCTGAGGGTTATATAGGGTTTTATTGGGATGGGTCAATGAAGGAATTGCTTCATTTCCTGAGCTGTGTGAATGATAGAGAGCATTCACTGAGTGAGGTGGCCTCTTAGTGGAGGGTGAGGCCCTGGGGATCATTCGAGGTTAGAGAATGTCATGGGTACCTGGCTCACTGGGACTTCTAGGGTCTCTACACAAGGTGTGGAAATTGTAAGGTCCTTTGATATAACATTGAGGTATCTTGCATGGGGTATGGATGAGGCAAGGGGGCAGAAGACCAATTATCAGGTTTTCAAAGTGGGGAGCATGCTGGGAATAGCCCTCAGGACAGACATGTGGCCACAAGAAGCATTAGCAATCCACAGGACCCCCTCGCCACCAGCCACTGAGGGGCCTGAGCATTCCCGAGCAAGACGTCGGAGTCCCTGCCCAGCCTGCCCATCCCTGATCAGACCTACAGAAAGACTCATTCACAAGACACTGGAGGGAGGGATAAGACAGTTTAATTTAGAAATAAGCTTTGGACAGCCTCCTGATCAGAAGGGAGCTTAAGGGCCCACCCTGGGGGAGAAAGGCCATCATGGAGGGTAAGGCCCCCAGGTGGGGAGAGAACAGCATGGGAGCTGGTACCAAGAATGCCACGAAGCTGGTCCTGTGCTCAGCAGGTACTGGCAGAGCCTGAAGAGAGAATGGGAGTCAGGTCCTCACAGACATGGTCACTACAAAGGCAACCCCCTCAGCCTCCAGAAACCCCAAGGGTGGGCTGGCTTACGACAGCATTACGCAAGGCATTTAATAATGCTCAAATACTATGGCCACCCTGCCTGAGGGCCTGGAAGCCCCTCAAAGAAGCCCATCTTACCTGGAGTGATGAGTGGAATGGCCTTCTCAGGTAAGGGGCTAAGAAAGGAACACATCAAGTTAGCATCCCCAGACCTTCTGTTCTGTATCCCCCAGGAGGACGCCTGGTGCTCCCTCCCCAGGGGGCACACTTGCTTGCTATTCTTCCCCTGTCACTTTAAACAATACCAAAGGTTATAGCTTTCTATTATCAGTGAATAACAAACCCCACTGCAAGCCCAGGCAGCAGCCAAGGGGCTGTCCTCTTGCTCTAAATTGCAGGACTTTACCCCCAAATAGGTGTGCTCTGCTCCCGGGGCATACAGTGGGGGCCCTGTCTCACCTGTGCTTCTGACTGTACTTGCACTTGCACTTTCCACCTGTGGGAGGAAGAGCTGGTCAGTGCAAAGAACCTGGGGCACCTGGGCCACCCCACCGCCTCCCCCCGGGCCCGGCCTGCGAGCCCCACCACTCACTCAGGGCTATCAGGATTCCAGCGATGCACAGGAGCCCTCCAAAAATCATCCCGCCCAGCTGCAGGCTTTCCCAGTCTGGGGGAGCAGAGAGTAAGCGGGCACCAGCCCGGCTCCGCCCCACTCACTCACTCAAAAGGTATTTATGATCACCTGCTTGTGCAGATGCACTTACAGTTCAGGCAACAAGAAAGACAAGCGGTATAATAGCTGGTGGGAACAGCACTAGGAAGAAAAAATAAGCAGAAGAGCACAGAAAAAGAAGGGAGTTGGAAGGCTTTTTGATCAAGGAAGGCTTTTCTGAAAGGTGGCATTTGCGCTGAGGCTGGGGGGAGAGGGGGGTGTGTAGGGACACTGGAGGACAGTGCCAGGCAGAGGAAGAGAAAAGCTGCTGGGGACTGTCGAGCAACAAGGAGCGGGTGCTGGGGAAGGCAAGTGAGAGAGTGGAAGGAAGATTAGGTGAGATACCTGGGGGCCCAACGGCCTCCAGCCCCTTCCCCAGAAATCTTCCTAAATATCCTGTGGGTATCTTCCCTCCTTGCTGGAATGAAGTTCTCCCAAGACCATGTTGCATATTGGCCTCTTGCTCTTTTCATAGACCATGCCGACTCTGTAATCCCCAGTCCCAGCCCCATCCTGCCCCTCTTTTCTCATTAGCCCTCACCAAGCTCTAGCAAAGCGGTCCAGGATAGGCAAAGGTAGGGGGTGGAGGATGAGGGAGATCAGCTCTTACCATAGTAGAAGGGACTGTCTTTATCTGCAGGAAGTGGGGGGGAAAAAATAAGAACCAGAACCAGGAGGCAGGATGTGGGGTCTTAGAGGGAAGATGTGGGGTCTTAGAGGGAAAATGTGGGGCAGCAGGAGCAGGGCAGTCTGGGGCCTCACTCACCAACCAGGTCATTGGCTTCCAAGGCAGGCAGGCCTGGGTGGGAAAAGCAGAGGGATCGGGTATCAACGGGTATTAATTCATGACACTGGTCTCATAATGAATCAGGAGGTATGTCCTCAGCCCAGACCAGCCTCCTGGGTGGGCAGGTTGGCGGGGGGACCCTCACACCTTCCCCAGCCCCAAATAGCCCTGGGATTTTGTCTCTCACCCCATAGCCTTTGCCACTCCCCCTCAGCCCTTCCTGCCATTTCTCAGGCTTCCTGCTAGTCTTTCTTGCATTCGAAATGGAATGGTGTGTTGGTATCTTTTTACCCTCTTCTGAGAAGCTTCCTACACAGATCCTGGCTAATGCCCTGACAGGGAATAGGGAATGCTTCTCTCTTTATGCCAACAGATGGTTACTGTTTTCGAACGTTCAATTATTTAGGACAACTTTTGCAATATCCACTTCCTCTCTGTACTATTATCTCCTTAGTGTCACTCTTTAAATTGACAGTTTAAATGAATATACATTTGTTCAACACCAGGCCCCCTTTGGGAGATGCTGCCCTGGTTTTCGCTGCCTTGGGGGGAGGGTGAGTGGCAGCAGGTTCACTTCTGGGAGGACTCACCTGCCAGTGTGAGGAGAAGGGCCCGGGTCACTCTCTTCATGATACAGCTGCAGAGCAGGGCTGCAGGGGAAGGGGGCGGGCTGGGGTCAGACAGCCAGGACCTGCCCAAGGTTCACAGTGCCTGGGGCAAAGAGCCAGGGCACAAATCCCAAGGGTGCACTTGGTTTATGAAGTGGTCTTGGGAAAGTTACTGATTTCTGTTTCCTCATCTAGAGATGATAATAGCAAATGCCTACTGGAGTTACATGGATTGAGTTAATACTAGTTAAGTACTTCGAACAATGCTCACACCTAGTAAGTGATTTGTTGAAGTCTTTGTTCAAGTCTTTAATCAGAAGCCTGACCATTGGTCAGAGGAGCACGGCTACTGTTCTAACTCAGGCTTTGGTTCCTTAACCCCACTCAAAAGGCTAAGAGGCACCCTGAGCTATTGTTCCCAAAGGTCTGGGCCTCGGGCGATATCAGGATGAATTCCAAGATAGTCTCTGCAAAGGGCGAGCACACCCAGGGCTGAGCAGCTGAGGAGGGGAAAGGTGGTAGTGAAAGTATGTGAGGGCCTCCCACCCCAGCCTCAACCAGGGATCCTGCTCCAAGGCAGCCCCAAATCCCACAGCAGGAAACTGCCTGGTGGGCGGAAGGAACACTGCTCCTTTCTTTCTCCTCAGGGTGGGAACTATCCAGGTCCCTAAGAACTAGTTCCTATAGGGTGGCTGTTTCCTTGAGATAAGACCCCTGCCAGCTTTCTGCATGTTGTTAGCTGCAGGCAAGCTTAGAGACTATCAGCTCTTGCAAACTGAAGTCCCGCACCCCCCCCCCCCCGTAATTATCTGCTGGGCCCAGCTGGCTGGAACTCTAATCCCCTCAAAACCACCTAACAGCTGTGTGACTCAGTGGGTTACTTCACCTCTCAGTGCTTCAGTGTCCTGTAAAACGAGGACAATTAATATCAATGGCATAAGGTTATGATTGAATTAAATGAATTACTACATGTGAAGCCTAAGAATAATGCCTAGCACATAGTAAGTAATGAAATGTGTTACAATAAATAAATACAGGGGCTCCTGGGTGGCTCAGTCGTTGAGCGTCTGCCTTCGGCTCAGGTCATGATCTCAGGGTCCTGGGATTGAGCCCCGCGTCGGGCTCCCTGCTTGGCGGGAAGCCTGCTTCTCCCTCTCCCACTTCCCTGCTTGTGTTCCCTCTCTCGCTGTGTCTCTGTCTGTCAAATAAATAAATAAAATCTTAAAAAAAAAAATACATAGCCCTCTCTACTTGCTAAATGGGATGCTGCCTGATTCATGAATCGCTTAATAAAGCCAAGTTGATAGATAGATAGATAGATAGATAGATAGATACATACATACATACATACATGGGTCCTTTTGCCCTAGACGGGAGGGACTAGTAATGTGCAGCTTCTGAATGTGGGAGTTGGTCGGCTTTTAGCAGTCTTGGAAGCTGGCCCTCCTTTGCACTCATCCCCTCTCACAACCCTGGGATTCCTGAGTCATGAGGGTTGCAACTCCAAAGGTGGGCTCCTGTTTCCTAGCCGCCCCCCCCCCCCACCATCCCACTGCCTATATGATAGTGGTCACAGAGCAAACGGCCTCCAATCCTCAAAACCCTCAAACATGCACCCTGTTACTGAGAATACCTGGGCACCCACCACCCCTCCCTCAGACTGGTACCCCCTCCACCCTTCACCCTTCTTCCCCCATCCTTCCCCTTAGCAGCCCTGAAGTCCTAGCGGACACTTGCTCACCTGAGAGACGGATGCAGATCTAGAGAGGCTGCTGGGGCTGTGTTCAGCCCAGGTGGGTTCTGGCTCTTTAAACCCAGCAGCTCCGCCCAGGGCAACAATACCTGCAGGCAGGAGGGAACTGGTCGGATTCCTTGAGATTCCAGTAGCTCCTTCTCCTCCCCTTCCCCCCCCCACTCCCCCATGAGCTCTTGAGACAGCTTGCCCTGCCACACCCAGTGCAGAGCTGAGCTCCTGGGGGCCCTGGGGCCATCAGAGGCTAAGGTGGTGGTGGGAGAGGGATGGGGTGGGCCTCAGACCTTTTTCTTGAGGAGAAGGTGCTTTCAGCTTCTTTAGCTCACCTAGATCCTAAAGGGGGAGTCCAGAGGGTTGCTGAAAGGGGGACAGGATGTTTCTGGGTTCTTGTGCCAGTGGTGGGGGTGGGGTGTCCTGGGGACAGCTGAGTCGACTAGGAGTCAGGGACTGACCTTGAGGCTCCATTTGCTCAGTGGTCCCATTGCTTTTCCCTGGACTGGGTGTTTATTGAGGGGCATGGCTGGGACTGATGGCTTCTTCAGGATTCCCCACCCTCTGACCAGGCCTGACACCCACTTGGCCCAAGGAAACTGATGGCTAGGATGAGAAACCACCCTGGCCCAGACCCTGGTTTCCTGCCTGCTCCAGAGTGTGGGGGAGGGGTGGTCCAGAAGGAGGACTGCCAGCCCCAGGCTGAATAGTGGGTTGCTTCCCTCTGCAGACCGCCATATCTGCCTCACAGGCTTCTGGCCAAACCCCCCTTTCGTGCCTCACTCCACCACAATGCTTTTGGTCTGTGTCCTTGGTTCTGGATGAGCCCAGGCCTCTCCATTCTGTTGTCCCTCCCCAGTTCCTCTCTTTGTTGCTTTTACCACTAGATGGTGATCAGCTGAAGGCAGGACTGTTGCCTCCCTTATTCCCAATGGCCAGTTACAGACACCAATAAATCTACTGTGATTGGATTGTTGAGTCAATGAGGACAAGAAGCCACTGGAGGCTCCCAGTGCTGGGGATCAGGGGGCAAAACAAAGCCTTGAAAGGCAGGGTGGGGAGGAAGGGGGAGTAGGAAAGGGGAGGACATTCCTAGTATAAACACGTTACACCTTCTCATGAAAACCTTCCATGGTGCTCCCTGCCTTCAAGATTCAGTTTCTGTGGAGTTCAAGTCCAGGGGCTCTGGGGCCAGGAAGAGCTAGAGTTTAAGCCTAACCTGCCATTTACTCCCTGGGTAAGCTCAGGGAGCTCCTTCATCATTCTGAGCCTCAGTTTCCTCTCCTCTAAAATGGAATAATGACAGGACTGACATTTGAGGTTTGGGGTGTAGGTTCTGCGGGGGGTTTGGGGCTGCTCCATGATCAGCCCTCAATATGTATTTGTGGACTGAATGTCTCCTAGGCCTGGTGCGAGGAAAGTTCATTAACCTCCAGATTCAGAAGAACCATTAATTGCACATACTTTGAAATCAAATCCAGGCTCTGTTAGTTACTTGCTATGTGCATTTGAGCAACTAATTTACTCTCTTCCTATTTATTCATCCATAAAGTAGGAACCATGACCGAGCCTACTCTGAATGCTTGTGGTGACGATGACATCTGATCATGCTGCTCAGTTCACTGTAACTGTAGCTGGGAATGGCCCTGATATGCACACACAGAGATCTGCAGCATAAGAGAAAGGGGGTCGTCAGTAGCGAGCCCCCCTCCCCACGGAGAAACCACATTCCAGAGAGGAGAAAGGTCTTGCTCAAGGCCACATTTTGCCTTGGTAGTGGAAGGGGGTCTCAGCCCAAGTGATCAGACCCTTCAGCTGAGTTCTTCTGCCCTGTCAGGCTACAGTGAGGAAGAAGCAGCCCTAAAGCAGCCATTCGTAAAAAAGTGACCTTTTAGGTCCCAAGGACCCTCTTTGCTTTGGGAGGTCTCCAGGAAGTAGGAAAAGGACCTCAGATCCCCTTCTCCAAAAGCATCTTTGCTCTGCCCTGCAGCTTCTTCCCTTGTCAGGGATCCTCCACTCCCATCCCCATCCCCATGAGACAGTGTCATCTTTAACAGGTAGAAAGAAAACTTCACCTGAGCCTGGTGGTATTGACACTGGTCCAAGGTAGGGGGATAGGTTGAGCCTGGTGCAAAACCAGCGAGAGGGAGCCCAGCTACCTGTGTGTGATTTCTGCAAGCACAATGGTAAGTCACCACCTCATCTCTTCTTCTTGCCCAAACTGGTGGTAGGTGTAGGTCGCACGATGGCTGGAAGAGTGCATCTATCCCCTCTGAGGGGCCTCAAAGGCTGGCCATTCACTCAGTGGCAGGCAGCAATGCCTTCTACACTGGAAGTGGTGCGAAGTCAGTTCCCAGGTTAGTGAATTTATCTTCTTAGATATTAAAACCAGTACTTACACATGGTCATGAAACTGGGTGTCGAAACCTTTAGATGTTTGGTATATTAAGAAGTGTTAAAAAAAAAAAAAAGAAGTGTTTACTAACCTGTCCTTTCATTTGTTAGGAGCGTTTAGGATGAACAACTGCTCTCTCAAAGTATAATTCCTGAGAGGTTGGACTGGTGGTGAAGGCTGTTTTCAGGAAATCACTTTCAAGGAGGGCTGGCTGCTTGCCCTGCTTCTTGGACATGCATTCCTCGTCAGAATCTCTGGAGCCATCCATTTGGGTCTGATTTCTTTTTCTTTTTCTTTTTTCTTTCTCTCTCTCTTCCTTCCTTCCTTCCCTTCCTTCTTTCTCTCTCTCTTTCTTTTTTTAAAGATCTTATTTATTTTAGAGAGAACATGAGCAGGATGAGGAGCAGAGGGAGAAGCAGACTCCCCGCTGAGCAGGGAGCCCGATGCAAAGGTGGGCTTGATCCTGGGACTCCAGGATCATGACTTGAGCCGAAGGCAGACACTTAAGCGACTGAGCCACCCAGGCGCCCCATAGGTCTGATTTCTTATCTTCCAAATGGGAGATCTGGGTAAAAGGCACTGAGGCTTACAGGGAAATCAAAACTTGGGGTGATGGAAGGCTGGGAAGAGTGGGTGATGGAGAGCCAGACTTAGTTGGGTGGGTGCAGATGACAGCCCAGAGGTATTAAAAGTTGAGAGTGAGAAAACTGAAAGATCCAGTCTGAACTCTTTCTTCCCCTTCTGGAGTCAGTGTTGCAAAGGATACAAAGGACCTTGTGTGGAAGGAGGGAAGTCTGCTGCCAAGAGTGGCCACCTGAAAATCAGCCCTGATGCCCAAGATCCTGCCTCTGCTCATGTCAGTCACTGCCACACCTCCTCACACTCCCAAACTGTGCTTTTCCCTTCCGCAAGCACCAATTATTGCTCTGTGAAAAACAGAGACTCATCCTCAAAGTCATTAACTTCCCTGAGGAAAGGTAATAAAACAGGAATTGTCTAAGATTGACCAGAGGTAAAATAAAAGGGAAGTGGCTAGTATCTTGCCTGGCACATAGTGGGAGCATAATGTGTTTTTTCCCTACCTTCCAAGAAGGACTGAATATCAGCATCAGTAGAAGGCTGAGATTGTCTGTTTTGAGGGGGTCTGGTAGAGGAGGGAAAAGACCCCCCATTCCTGAGGGGAGAGGTGATCTCTGGTCTCAGGTTTCTCCCAGTTGTCTCCAATGTTTCATCCCTATGAGAAATACATATTGAATTCCCACCTGGACCCACTTCCTGTGCTCCATCTCCCTCAGTCCCTCAGGAGTCCGCCTACTCTTCTTCCCCTCTCTCTGCATTTTCAGCAGGTCCCCCTCTGTGTGTTCAGAGAGCTGGGCTCCTACTGGTCTGGGGCACACAGATCTGGGGCTCACTCCCTTTGATGATGGGGGGCAGGGGTGGGAGAGAAAGACTGTGAGAGGAGGGTAGCGGGTGTTAGGGTGCAAGGGCGGCCATCTGAACGGTAGCGGCGGTCTGAGGGCTCACTTTTAGGCCTTGCTGTCTCTTGTGCGTTAGGAAGGCAGGAGGAGGGGGCCCTTCGCTGCGGATTCTAAGTGCCTTCTGAGGAAGAGGGGATACGGAAACGATGAGGGGGCGGCTGTCTCACGAAGGGGGAAAGATGGGTCTCGGTGGCAGCCACTCCCTTCAGGAGTGTGTAGTAAAAGCCTGACTCCCTTTGGCCGACTCCCGCCTCCAGAAATCACTACTTCGCTTCTATGACGCCCCTTCCAAGAGGCCATCCACTACCACCCTCCCCCTTCGCGCAAAGGACCGAGAAACAGTCAATCAGAATAGAACCATGGTGGCCTCCAGCCAATCAGCGCTAAGAGATGGCTGTTGAGGCGGGTTCGCGGGTGAAGCCGCCTGTGGGGCGAAGGCCCAGGCAGCGTGGGCGGGGCTTTTCTGTCATCCCTCCTCACGCGGATTGGCTGCTCGGGTTCAACCGCGCGTTTGTCAAGCAGCCGCCCTATTACGCATGCGCAGCGGCTCAATCTCCTCTTTGCCCTGTAAAGGTCGTGACTCCTTAAATCTTGCCGGAGTTTTTGTCCATCAGTTCGTACGTTGGTGCCCCGGTGATTGTCATGGTCTTCGGGAAGTTGTGGTCTTTGGTAACTGGGACGCTAGAGTCTGAAGGGTAGCTGAAGTGAAGGGACCGCACAGCTGCCGAGCCCAGAGCAGGCCAGGGAGGAGGAAGCCAAGAGCAGGGCGGCCTGGGGAACCGGCCAGGAGGAGGCGAGCTGCATGGAGTGAGGCCAGAAAGCCGGCAGGGGACCTTGGACTTGGGGAGGGCTTCAAACAAGGGCGAGATATGAGGCTGAAGACCTGTGCAGAAGGAGAGAGGCGGAAACTGTTCACTGAACTTAGGTCAGGCGACGTCACTTCTCATTGACTCTTTGTTGTTTCTGTTTTACCTCAGTAATGCTTTCCTCCTACCCACAGGTCCCTTAGCATACTTGCCCAACTACTATGCGTGTCTCAGAAACCAGATTTCTCAGCTCTCGACCTTGTAATCGAAGTATCTCGTGGACACGCCTCCTCGTCACTTCCTGGGGGTACTTGACAGTCAACAACTTCCAAAAAAATCATTCCCAGGTGCCTGGCTGGCTCAGTCAGTAGGACTCTTGATCTTGGGGTTGTGAGTTCGAGCCCCACGTAGGGTGTAGAGATCACTTAAGGGGCACCTGGGTGGCTAAGTTGGTTAAGTGTCTGCCTTCAGCTCAGGTCATGATCCCAGAGCCCCCTGTCCCTCCCCGCTGCTTTCTCTCTCAAATAAATAAATAAAATCCAAAACCAAAACAAAACAAAACACCCCAACTTCCCGTTGTCACTCACACACAACATATTTCAGAGTTCCCTATCTTAGGTCACCCCTTCACACAGGCCACCACTAAGCACATAAGGAGATTCTCTGTTGATGTGTCTGCTCCTCAGGCTGTGACCCCTTTAAGGGCACTAGTACCTCTCTTTCTTGTGACAGCAGCTTCATCCACAAGAGCAGCTTAAGTGAGTGCTTGCTACCTGGCAGGCTGTTTTCCAGCACTTTCCATGTGTTAACTCATCCTAACAACAACCTATCTGGAGAGGATTCATCTCCTGATTTCAGGATGAGGAAATGAGGTGAATGGTTAAGTGAAGCTCTAGACTACACAGCTGGAAGTGGCTATCTAGCCCCAGAGCTGGCTCTTAACCACCACTCTCCACATTAAACTGTGCACGTGATTTATTTTTAATATGATTTTAAAACAGTTCTGTTGAGAAATGATTTACCTACCAAGCAATTACCCCATTTAAAGTGTACAATTCAGGGCGCCTGGGTGGCTTAGTCGGTTGAGCGATAGCTCTTGGTTTCAGCTCGGGTCATGATCTCATGGGTCATGGGATGGAGCCCCGCATTGGACCCATGCTCAGTGGGGAGTCTGCTTGAGATTGTTTCTCTTCCTCTCCCTTTGGCGCCCCCGCCCCCCATGCGTGCTCTCTCTTTCTCTCAAATAAATAAAATACATCTTTATTTTTATAAAAATATTTATTTATTTGACAGAGAGAGAGAGCACAAGCAGGGGGAGAGGCAGGCAGAGGGAGAGGGAGAAGCAGGCTCCCTGTTGAGCAGAGAGCCTGACATGGGGCTCGATCGCAGGACCCTGGGATCATGACCTAAGCTGAAGGCAGACACTTAACCGCCTGAGCCACTCAGGTGCCCCTAAAATACATCTTTAAAAATTAAAAACTATATATATATTTCTCTTTGGGGTGTGTGTGTGTGATTTTTATGCAGATAATAATATTTAGATATTAAAAAACTTTTTAAAAGTAATTTCGGTGCCCAATGAGCAGCTTGAACTCACAACCCTGAGATCAAGAATTGCATTCTCTACCAACTGAACCAGCCAGGCACCCCAATTTCATTTTTATTTTTTTTAAGTAAACTCTATGCCCAATGTGGGGCTCGAACTCACAACCCCAAGATCAAGAGTCACATACTCTACAGGCTGAGCCAGCTGGGCACCCCTAGATATTTTGAGTCAGTAAGTGTACTTTTTATTTTCACTAGGGCGCCAATTGTCAAAAAGGTGGTATCACTATACATGTATATGTGTGCCATGCTTTTTAAAATAAGTTATAGAGGTTCCTGACTGTCTCAATTGGTAGATCATGAAACTCTTGCTCTTGGGGGTCATGAGTTTGAGCTGCACCTTGGGGGTAGAGTTTACTTACTTAAAAAAAAAATTACAATTTGATTTTACAACTTTTCAAAGTATTTTCATTCTAATATAATTAACTTGATATCTATTTAATAATTCAACACACCTTTCCCCCCCCCTTTTTTTTAAGGATTTTATTTATTTATTTGTCAGATAGCGCGCATAAGCAGGGTGAATGGCAGGCAGAGAGAGAAGCAGTCTCCCTGCTGAGCAGGGAGCCTGATGTGGGACTCCATCCCAGGACCCTGGGATCATGACCTGAGCCACCCAGGTGTCCCTCAACACACATTTTGAATCTCACCCCAGTTCTAGGAACTGGGGGCTCTGAACCAGGCCATGCAAAGCTCCTGCCTCCAGTGGCTGACATCACGGTGAGGGCAATGAGTTGGAAAAAGAAATAGATGGTACAATATTTCAAGTACTGATTGACAGGTGCAGTGAAGACACATAAAGCAGCTGAGATGTAGAGGGTGATGGCGGAGAGAGATAGCTTTCTTAGACTGGGAGGTCAGAATTGTTCGGTGATAGAAACAGGGATTTTTTGGGTGTTTTTTTTACGATTTTATTTATTTATTCATTTGTCAGAGAGAGAGTGAACGCAAGCAGGGGGAGTTGCAGGCAGAGGCAGAGGAAGAAGCAGGCTCGCTGCTAAGCAAGGGGCCTGATGCGGGACTCGATCCCAGGACCCCGGGATCATGACCTGAGCCGAAGGCAGACGCTTAACCAATTGAGCCACCTAGGCATCCCAAAATATAGGTTTAAAACATTTGTATGCCACAGTCAAATTTCCCTTTGCCATTTTTTTTGTCTGGTTAAATTGAGCCAATGAAGTCAAACAGATACCGAGATTTTAGGTTAGAGCATAATTTACAAAAAGGGTTTTTTACCTAGAGCCAGTGGCTCTCATTCCAAGAAATGCCTCTCCATCAAAT